ATTTCGAAAATGTTTCCTTCATGCCTCAATACGTTTCTGAAAAACGAAAATTTTGCAAAAGAGTTACTTTACACATTCCACCACAAGGTTAGATTTTATTCAAAAATGGAAAACCAAGTTCATTTGAAGCCAGTATTATTGCGAAACATCCATAGTCCAGTTTTTTATTTAAATTAGGCTGTCAATATAAATTCCTGAAAGTTTTGCTAGAGCTTGATTTCACTATCTCCACCTGAATTTCCTTAGTTACACTTGAATTACTTTACATTTCTTTTCGAATATTCATAAACAACCAATTTGAATATCATCATGTTTATAGTGCTCTGTGAAGTCAGTGCTGTTATCTTTGAGGATATAAGTATTCATTTTTACAACAAGATTGTTTTGTCGTAAGCAAAAACCGTTAACTGACATGAGGTCATCGATGTAAGGCTTTCAATTGATCCCGGGGGAACACCATAGTTGATTTTTGAAAAAAAAGTTGTGGTTTTCACTATTTTCGATTGTTGCGATTCCGCCCATTTGTGTGGATATTGATGAAGTGTTCTCGATAGGTTATCGTGATCGACACAGTCAAATGTTTGAAAATGTCGCAGACAACTAAGACGAATACTCTTTTATAATCAATAGAGTTTTTGCAAAAATAGAAAAATGAGATTATGGATGTTCTTGTTTTTCCTGACATATTGAGTGACGTGAATTTATTTTATTTCTTTTAAAAATAATGTGGTTCTATCTTGTACTACTTTGTCAATGATTTCACCAAGGTAGTTATTGATTGTTGTTCAAATTTTAAAATTCTTGTCAGATAACCTGCATACTTTTTATTTTTCGCGGGGGGACTGTAATATTTTCCTGTCGCATTATTGGTATACAACAGTGATTTTCATTCCATTTCATTGATTTTCGTTTTCCCATCGTTTTTTGTCAGCGGAGACGGGGCAAACACCCTTCACCTCTCCAGGATTTGGTACAGAGTCCACAAGAAATACTGCACCGGCTTTCTTGTACATAATTTCCACATTGTCATGTAAATATGCAGATTCGCGACTACCGAGTACGGGGATTATCGGGTGGAAGACCATACGTAGTTGAATACAGAGATAATACCCCATGAATGGCGCTAAAGTTGCGTTATTCGAAGTGACAGAAAAATGTATTGAATATAGTGCAAGGGGCGCACATCCAGAGAGCAGGCGCTCGTCTATTGATTATGCCAAACGGTCTTCCCATTTCCGACGCGTCGACAACTACATCGTGAATTCGCCAAGGTGGGGCTCTATGAACATGCTATACGACTGTTCAACCTGATTTCGAATCTCGCAGTTCTCAGAAAAGAGACCACCGGTCTCACGTACTTTCCTAATAAGAACACAATCGAGGCCCTTCGCGAGTCGTCCAGTTTATGGCTTCCAGGCCTCTATTGAAAAAAGTCCGTGTGTACAACCACTAGAACTCATGATTGGTTCTTTTTGGAATTTGTGCCGTGCATGCCCGTCGATGCCTGTCGATAAGGTAACATTATTTTTTCTGCTTCATCCTCGGTAGATTGTTAGTCAAGTCCGAAACATGTAATAACCTGCGGATAATTCTGTCTCTTGGGCCGTTCTCGCTCACCTGGTCAGATGTTTTACTGTTTTTCGAAATTTCACTCAGTTGTATAATCGATATTCGAGTGTGACCGAAATTATTTTGTGGAGCTCTCGAAACTAATTAATTTTTTTATTAACTTCTGGTACATAGTGTACACAATTTCATGTTCAAAAATACATCCGAAATCTGAATTGCTCAATGAAAAATTGAAAAATTAGCATTTTCTTCTTTATATTGACAAGCCTGTAAATTATGAGGTTGATCTTTGTCAATAGAAAGCCTATAACGATTCTTCTCTGTGCGGTATGTCTAGGAACAAAACAAAAAGTGCTTATTGATTATTGATTATTATACACCGTGGTGGTCAAGTTCAGATTGATGAGTCTGTAAAAAAATGCTTGAAATATATTCCTATGCATAATGTATGTATGGAACACCAAATATGCGACCACCTAGGCCATCGGTTGATTTTTCATATGAATTTCGTGAAATATGGAATATTTCACTCAGAATCCAGTTATCCTGACCGCGACTTTAACATCAGAAAATGTTCCATCACGTAAAGATTTTGAGTTATAGTTATTTTTATTTTATACAAAAATTTTCACATATTATAGGGAAATATAATATCAAAACAAGAAAAAAAAATTTTGAGGATAACAGACTTTATTCACAAAAAATATGAAAAAGCATTCAAATGAAGACTTTCGTGCATAACCTTTTCGCAAATATTGACTTTGGTTTATATGTTTCATCGTTTTCCCTCATAAGGAACCAACAATAATCCCCCATCATTGCTGCATCCCATCTGCCTTGGAAACGTTGCTTCATTGTCAGTATGTCTTGATGGAACCTTTCCCATTGTTCGTCAATGACAGCACCCAAATTTTCTGAGAAAAACTTAGAATGGGAGTGCAAGAAATTGATTTTGAGAGACATGCGACATCCCACTCTGCAGTAGTTTTCAAATGGTTCTTCTACAAGTGTTTCGTAATTTTCTACTCTCTTGTTCCCTAAAAACTCCGCAATAATTCTTTCGAAAGAACTCCACGTAACTAATTCAACATTACTTAATTTTTGATGAAACTGTTGATCACTTATTAGTTTTCTAATTTGTGGTCTTCCTTGAGCTTTGGAAAAACGTGTTTGAGATATTCAAACGTATCACCTTCTTTGTCTAACGCTTTTACAAAATTTATCATTAACCCCAGTTCAATGTGTAATGGAGGTAACAAAACGTTTTTGGGATCAACAAGAGGTACATTTTTCACGTGAGTTTGACCTGGAATATATTTATCTCTAGGAGGTCAATCTTTTACTTGATAATGGCTCTGTGTTGCCCTACTGTTCCAAAGGCAAAGAAAACAGCAGTAATAGTCCTATGACTTTTAGGTCACCACATATTTGCCACTTATACGTATTATTACTTATTGCATTTAGAATAAGTGACATACTTTCGTGTGTTTCCTTCGTGGAAACTGCAACTTGTTTTGACGAATCTATAAATGAACGCCACATTTCATTCTGCAGAGTAAAAAACGAGGATAGCTCATGGTTACGAATCCTAAATATTGTAACTTTGGTTTTAGGGGCTAGTAAATTTGATTATTTTAATCTAGACCCCAATAGTTCAGCATTCTCTTTGGGCAAGTGGAGGTCCCGAACCAGGTCAGGTTCCATTAAATGGTTCATTCTTCCTTCACTCTCGGGAAAATAAGGACCGTCTTTTTCTGGTACATCGTGGAAACCTACCTGGTCATCATACATTTCCAAATCTTCCTTCCAATTTGCCGGGGGTGTTGGAACTGGTAAACCTTCTTCACGAAGAACCGGCCTTCTTGCAGAAGGAATATCCGGATACACAATTTTGTGTTTGCTCTTTCTTGAAAAACCAGACACGTTTGTCATGCCAAAGTAACAATCGTTGTAATGGTTTGTTGTTTTTTGCCAAATCATTGGAACTGCAAATGGCATAGAAGAGCGTTTGCCATTCAACCAGTTACTTAGACTTGCTGCACAGGTTTGGCAACATATGTGAGGAGCCCAATTCCGATCTCGATCACCAACAATACATTCAACATACTTATGGTAAGCTACTTTGGTTATTTGAATAATTGGCCGATTCTGCGATTTAGGAGTAAACTGACCACATGTATAGCAAAAACTATCTGCGGGATTAACGCAGCCACGTGTCTGTAATTTGGACATTTTTGTACTGTTGCGTACGTCTGTTTGAAATCTGTTGCGTACGTTCTAATAATGCGTTTACAGGAGTCAACTTATTTCATTCACAAAGGTAACACTAATATAATACTCTAAATATTCGCGTGTTTGCTCACCTCGCTTCTCTAGTACTAACTCACAACTCACTACTCGCGTTAAACCAATATTGATGATTCGATTGTCAATCTGTTACTTTTATAGCGGTTTCGTATTTCTGGTATTTTCTGGAAACTTCGAGTATCGGAAGTTCGAGAAGCGGCGTTACAAGTCTCATATACAGCGGAAGCAGATTCGAATACTGGGCAGAGCCGCAGATTTTGAACAATTTCCCCAATTTAGGGAAAAAGCAATTTTGGAATGTCGTGTTCATTAAATTTTTGTGAAAAAAATCATAACTCAAAAATCTTACGTGTTAGGAAATTTTCACTATCATTTTCGCATTTGGGGACCAAAAATTGACAAAGGACTGCCTTTGGCATTACAGTCGTAAATTGGCTGTAAGCTAGTGTAATTATTCAATTCTCACAGTATGAATTTTATTCAAGACGCGTTTCACTACACGATAGTTACATCAATTGTTCTGAGAAACCAAGAAACTCGCAAATATTCACATGTCCTTTCAGAAGACCAACAAGTAGTTAATTACTCACCATTGTTGAATTTGTTTTTATAAAGTATCAAGAATGAACATATTTGAAATATATCTGTTTTCCTAGAATAATTAGTGCATTGTAATTGTTTATTCAAAATCTACCTGTTTTAGTGAAAATAATCATATATCTAATTGAGTTTTGTGTATGAAAAACATTGTATATTATTTTGATGTACCAGTTCCACTGATGAAGCTGATGGTGAGAACATCTTGAATGAAACTAATGTTGTGAAAATGGAATAATTATTATCATCATGAATAATAACATCAATAGAAAAAGTCATAGAGACCAATGATAGTTATGTATTTATACCGATAAATATTTTGTCTCATACTGGGAAACTATTGAAAATAGTGGTATATCAACAATTATTACACCTGACAAGTAGAATTAGAAACCTCTGGCTTGGAATAAATCTATTGAAAACATTTTTCTTAACCAGAACATGAATGCTGTCACTCGACGTGCGTTTCGCTAACCAAGTTAGCATATTCTGGAGGTGATTAGGCCGTCTGATGGTGCTAACTTGGTTAGCGAAACGAACGTCGGGAGATAGCATTTTTGTTCTGCTGAGGAAAACGTTTTTTCAATAGAGTTATCAGACCATTTTACCGTAAACAATAAATTTTTTCGAAAAGCAGTCTGAAACATTGTTGAGAAACAACAATACAAATAAATGTTACTGAATGGAAAAATAACGTAGACGTATAGTCTATCCATTCCCAATTGGAATGGCAATAAAAATAAGAGCACTACGAGGGGTGGTCATAATCACTGCCCGGCAAATGGGAAATGTATATACTACCAGTGTTTTTATGTTCAAAGCGTCCCTGGTACCGTCATAAACATTTCTTGCCTGTGGCCCCTAGTCGCCCAGATAGTTAATAAACGTGTTATCAAATGTAGTTGAGAAATAAAGGCTCGGCTAGCTGGACTGGCTGAATACTAATTTTTTGTCCGTTTCACCGTATTTCTTTATCAGTGCCGTGTGTTCGTGGCGTTAGGTGAGGTAGTGAGTGGTTTGGAAAACCGATTTTTGAAAACTTTTTCTAGAGATCAATTACCCTAACACCAAACTGATATTTTTGCACTCGACGCGCGTTTCGCTAACAAGGTTAGCATCTTCAGGAGAAGCAAATTGATACTGAATCTAAAGACAAGGGTTAGCTGTTTATATTCCTGAAGTTTTTTGGTCCGATGTGGACTTTGTTTGTTAAATGATGATTATCCTAATTGATTTTTTTTGGCAATTGACTAGTGGAACCACTACCTTCATACTAATTTGTCAACAACAGATCCTAGATGGAGAAATCGGACAAATTAATATGCAGGTAGTGATTCCACTAGTTAATTACCGAAAAATCTAACCTAACCTAATTAACCTAATCAATTAGGTTAATCATCATTTAACAAACAAAGTCAACATCAGATCAAAAACTTTAGGTATATAAAAAGCTAACCCTTGTCTTTAGATTCAGTATCAATTTGCTTCTCCTGAAGATGTTAGCGAAACGCACGTCGAGTGCAAAAATATCAGTTCGGTGCTAGGGTAATTGATCTCTAGAAAAAGTTTTCAACTTCAACACCAAAGTTTCCAACCTCATTGTTTAAACCGATTTTTGTAAAAATCTTAGTGTTTTTGGGTACTTTCATCAATATGGCTTTCTGGAGACCTTTTGAAACAAATGATAACATTACGTGTGAGGAATCTGTGTCAATCGACAGGGATCCGGAATTTGAAAATGAGGACTTACATGTTCAAGTTCAGCGAGTAATTTTAAATATTCATAAATGCTTGAAGAAGGAAAACTGTCACACTTCACAAAATGCTATTGTGGATAGAATATGCGAGTTAAAACGAAACTATCTCGTTCGACAGTTCTTCGAGTCATTAAAATAGGGGATGTCATTGACCATGCAATGAAACGAAAACAAAGGAATAAAAAATTCGCAAACGTTGATGGTGCTACAAAAAATGTGATTAGGTGAACGATTTATAGTTTATATCAAAAAAATTAAGTATTAACCTTGGGAATGATTTGGTAT